TGCGTTTCAGAAGAATGAAGTCATCATCATTACCTGACATACTTAGTATATATACCCTCATTATTCTCAGTCAAAGCCAATCATAATCCCAATTTCTCTTTGACAATATTGCATATTGAGACATAGGTTCTTGTATGAAAGTTCATGGATTCCAAAGCTCGCGCGACGAATCATGACACAATTTCTAATTGAATTCAATTCCTACCCTTGTTTGAGTACCTCAACAGATTTTCCAACCAAAGATTCAGCTTCTTCTGGAATCTATCAGGTGCAAGAAACTTAAGAGCAGGAATCAATTGTAACAGTTCGAGGTCAATGACGATCTGTTATTCGGGATTCGTAGGGATTTAGATTCAAAAATTGCTTAGAATTTGTCAAATTGACTAAAAGATGCTTCAGATCACATGAATTTAAATTTCTGATTAGTGTGGTATGTGCGTATTAGTTCTCCAATTCAGAAATCATCAGCGTGTCTAAGTAAACTGCTATCCCAGAGGTTGCAACAACGCCAGATGAGAACTCAAAATGAGTATAATACTTGATGGAACTTGACTCGCCACCTCTGAGAACTGCGCCGATCAGAGTCCTGGTCCCCCGCAGCGAGGAAAACTCGTATAGAGAACAGAAAGATTGTCAACAGTATCCCGCCATTAGCTTCTTCTTCCTTTACTCCATTTGCGAATGAGTTTCTCCATTTACCCCTCATTTCTCCTGATGAATGGATCGCTGTTCTCAGTCAAGCCTGATGATCAAGAAAACACCGGACTGATCACACGAATCAAGCCTGACGCATCCTTAAACAAATTTGAGTCAACTTCCGAGAGGCATGATCACACCGCCAAATTAGCTGGAATCAGACCTCATCCCATATGATCTTAGACTTCCTTTTCCATCCTAATATGGACAAGTAGGATCTGCATTTCTAATGATCTTTCATCACCTTACATCTACTGAGTCGGCACATCTCATGTATAATCCGATGCATCAGAGTCGCTCGAATTCATCTATAGCAAGGGCTCTCATCAATCTGTAAGATCTTTTGCCTCTATGGTTGATTGCTCTTCTTCTTAGTTCATTCTAATGGACTTCTCTAAATATTCTTCACGGCGCGGGAAGATGCATGTTTAGCAAAGACCGGAATCGCATCTTAACATGCGCAGGAGACAACGCCAATTATTTTTGTGCGAGACAGTCCAAATTGTTGCTATTTGATCGTACTTTCACTTTTGATCTAGCTTTCATCACTTTTTGAATTTCTTATCGATATGCCAAGAATTTAAAGGCTTCACAGGGATTAATCTCAACGTCACCATAATATGAGTATATAATATTATACTATATATATATATATAATATATTATATATATTTAGATATATTATATATATATAATATATATATATAGTATATTATATATATATATATTCCATGCATGAGAAATAATCATATAAGTGTTACCAATTATCCATAGAAAATTATACAGGGAAAAGGAAGAACATGACATAAGTCTCCTATCACTTCAAAGTAGTGTAAATTATACACAAAATTAGTGTAAGCAGTTTAATATATCAGTGCACTGAAAATACTAAACCTGACCAATAATACGTATATAAATTTATGCAAATCACCCGGTTTAGAATTAGTATTAAAACATCCCCTCTATGACCCTCTATGATTTCTCAAGAGAGTGTTCTATATTATTTTTAGGGTTAATTTTACAGAACATTTGAAAGTTTAGGGGCTATTCTGACACGCCTCAAAGTTCATGATCGTTTAGCTGGATAAACAAAGTTTCGTGGCAGTTTAGTAAAAAACCCCACCCAGAGCTCATGGCTGTTTTCTAAAATTAACCCTTACTTTTGGGTTTTTTTGATACATACCCCCAACTATCAATATTCATTAAATTACCATCCAATCTTAATATTTATTAAGATGTCTCTCAAATCATAGACTTTGGATTTTTCTACTTGCATCTTAAACTTCACGATATCTAGAGTAAAAGTTTGATTAGGGTAAATCTAATTGGAGGAGGATTAGAATTATAACTCTCCCCTTCAACCGTTTATATTTAACACCATTTGGTTTGGGATAGAAAAATTCAAAGTTTAAAAATTGAGAGGCATTTCAATAAATTTCAATATTTGAGTGGTAATTTAATACATGTTGATAATTTGAGGGGTATGTCACCAATATTTTTTCCCCCTTCCAAAACTCACATGACATCCTACTGTTCTTTCTCACTCTGCAATAATAGTTATCACGTCACAAGTATGGGTTCATACATCTTGGTCCCATAACCAATTAACATAATTTGAGTGTAGTGAAGGAATCAACGCAGAGAGCGCGGTTATTTCATGCATCCAAATATACCCTACCAACCAATTATAGTAGTATAGTTTGAAAAGAAATTAATATAGGTGGTTTTTTAGATATTAGTCCTTCAAATCATTAGTATTTGATTAGTATCCCAAATCTTTAATATTTTAATATTAGTCTCCCAAATTGCCTTAATGTGTTGATATCAACTCTAATATATCCTCGTGGAGCAGCATTTGAGATATCATCTATAAAGCTCATGAATTAATAACAAAGCTTAATTTGCTACCCTTGAAAGGTTAATTAACCTTATGGAAAATCTTTAACTATTACCTAAAAGAGAGTGCTAGTAGTGGATATCCTGTCTGCAAAATGCACGCATTGTGCTTAATTTAATAAGTGCTACCTATTATCAACACGTGCAAACTTTAATTGGAAACGCCTTCAAATCATAGTCACACCCTTTCAGAGTCCGAGACAAATGGACTCTAATCTTCTTAGTTATAGGCTTTATAATTTAATGGAGAATTATGATTTATCTTGGGATAAAATTGAATAAATTCAATGCATGGAGGGCACACCATTAGGTGTGTCAAGAATGAATTAATCATCTAACTAATATTATATATTTAATTAAACGAATGTGAATCTGCGGGGCTCTGAACGGGTTAGATTTTAGTTGGTGGGTTTTGGTTTGTCAGGTGAATGACATATGTGTCTATTAATAACAATGGTTAAAGAAAACAGAAAAGTCCCCGGAGTTTTAACAGCAAACTAACCGTATGGACCAGTATCAAGGCATTAAGGTAACTAGTGTTTAGACCCGTGCAAAGCACGGTTTCTAAAAGATTTTCTGCAAATATTAAACATGTTACCATAATAAAGTTTTAGTAAGGAAATAAACCAAATATACTTTAATCATGATATTTGACCGCGTGCATTGAACATTCATAAAACCTACTTTTTTAAAATATACTTAATCATGATATTTGACCACGTGCATCGCATGTGCATAAAGATTTTTTTTGGGGTCATCCATAATTTGGGTGTAGAGGAGAAGGAAAAACCGCAAGAGACGTAGGAGTTATAGGTTGGCATATTTGTAGTATTTGGTTATTTTTTAAAAGCTGTGGGAGTATTTTTAGGGGAATAAGGAAATACACGCTGGCATATTTGTAGCAGTTGGTTATTTTTTAAATAACGTTTCGACCAATGCTAAGCAAAAGCGCATTTCTTTTTCAATTTTTAATTAAATTATTTTATTTGGATTTTCAAAATTTTCTTTAATATTGTCAGGTTTATAAATTCGTTTAAAATTTTGCATGGTAGAAATATGATAATAAGGAGTACTATATATTGTTATTAGCATCATATTAAAAAATATAATACACCCATCCATGATAGGTTAGAAAATATAAAAAATTAAAGTATTGAAATACTTAATGTACTTGTATTCTGTGGAGTTTAATGTTTCATTTAATTTTAGATTTCTAATGGCAAAATTTGTTTAGTAACAGATACAACCTAAATAATTAAATGATGTTATTATTATTATGTCACATTTATTGACTAACATCTTTCACCTCCTGTAGGGTTTGATATTTCTTAAGATAGTTTGCCATAATATCCAGAAATATTAACTTGCACATTAAATGATATCAAATAATTAGATAGATGTACAATGATGTGTGCAATATATCTAATATGTCTCAATTATAGATAAAAAGCTCAGGAAATCACATTAATGAACTATGATGTGTGCAATATATCTAATATGTCTCAATTATAGATAAAAAGCTCAGGAAATCACATTAATGAACAATTTTAATAACAAATCCTATGATGTGTCTCAATTATAGATAAAAAGCTCAGGAAATCACATTAATGAACAATTTTAATAACAAATCCTATGATGTATGCAATAGATGTAATATGTGTAGATTTTAGATAAAATTGACATGAAATCGAAAAATTAACAAACTTAGTACAAAAATTATGCTTTCCAACTAATATTATTATGACTATAACTTTGCAAGGCAAGATACTAATAATAATAAAGAAATGTTCCATAAAAGTATTTACTGCATGAATTTTTGCTTGGCATTTATGATAGATATTCCAATGCATTTATTGTGCATAATTAGTAGAAAAATCTATCTATGTAAAAACAATGGGTCCAACTATTTACACTCCCAAACAGTAACTTTGGGAGTGTAAATGGACTAAATTGCCCTTCTCTTTGTGGGTAATTAATTGCTCTGTCTTTGTGGGTAATTAATTGTTCAGTTCCATCAATGCACAATTAATTGCTCTGTCTTTTTTCATGTCCGGTGGGTTATAAATTTTTTTATTTTGTTTTATTAACTAATTCCATTTTAATTGTGCATTTTAATTGTAGGATTTGGAACTATATCATTAATTAATTTTTTATGAAAACTATTAATGATTTTTATTTGTTAAAAATGTTTGAAGTGTTATTAAAAAAAATTAAATTTTTTTGAGAACATATATAAATGTTGGTTTAATTTTAATATAATTTGAATTTTTAAAATCGTTAATAAAATTTGTTTAAGTGTTTGAAATGTTTAAAGTGTTAGACTATAATGAAGGATAATAATAAAATTTATTAGAAAATCAAAGTATTAATCTACTCAACGAAATACATCAATTGTTTTTTTGATCCTAATTAATTGTTCTTTCTTCCTCTTGTTGCTGCTCGACGTTCTCCATCTTCATTGTGGAGACGGTTAAAGTGACCGATCGAGAATGCAAATTGTGCATCTAAACCATCTGCAGATTTGTTGTGATGGTCGTTCCAGTAAAATGCTATGGGTGGTACCGGATGATCCCCTGATTTCATATGCAACTGGAAAAAAATGTACAAATATTGAAGTTATATTCTTATATAAAAAATTAAAGTTAAAATTCAACTTGTTTATATGATCGTCGACTAGTGTAATTTTCTTACCAAAATCCAATGATCATTGCTAAGATGTCCGCACACCACCTTTCGGGTTGGAGGTCCTTGTGTTTCATCTAATATCGCTGGTAGACAAGTATTTCCTCCGTGTTCACTGAATGTCATGAAAACAACATTATATGTTGTTGCAATTACGTGACCGCAATCCGGTACCGCCATCCAGTAATCATCATCCGCTGGTCCATGGTAGTGAGCAATCGATTGGATGAGATTAGTCACATTAGAACTCCTCGCACTCCTCCCACCTAAGATTCGAGCGTACAAGGCGCTTCTATTCTGTAGATCTGCTACTAAGTCTTGTCTAACTTTAACCCAATCATCTTCTGTTCCGTAAATTGCTAGAGCCACCGCTCTAAATCCACAATTTCCGTCTGCCGCTACATCTGTGCATTGATCTATGTATTTTCTAATGTAGGGCGGGAATTCTCTCTCAAATACAGAATTCTTAAAGATGAACGTGGTGCCTTTGGAAGAAGGGGTTGACATTGGAGGCCTTGAGCACGGTGTATTTGGAGAAGATGGTGATACTGGTGGCCCCGTACGTTGGGATGTGCTCATTGGACTCCCCTGTGAGGCAGAGATAGAAGCAACACGTCCAGGGCCCTTTACAAATGCATAGGTTGACAACGTTAAATTGAGAATAATAAATTAGTAACTAATATAAATCATAATTTTCAAATATAGAAATTCATAAGTTATGTAGTATTACCTTTTTGTTTGGAGACTTTTTAAATCCGTACTGTTTCACAACCCTCTCCCACGCCGAAGGTACACGGAGACTAGAGAGCTTTTTACCCTTGGTTTTCTTTTTAGCAGTAGGAGGTGCAGTAATATCAGGGACTTCTTCGAACAACGCCCTCCTCACTGGATTTGGTGGAGTCGGGGATCCATCCGCGGCATCATTAGGAAATATTGGAAACTGAATATCTAACTTTTTCCAATAATCATGTATTTGATCCAACGGAATGTTATACCCATTTATGATGTAGTACCGAAGTTCATGTGCGCACGGTAGACCATGAGTTCTCCTTAGGTAGCAACCACACGTTGTTGGATCCTGACCCATTTCTTGTAAAACTTGCATTTCTTTCCTTATGAGGCCGAATGCTTTAAACGTGATTGATCTGTTCAGATTAACAAACAACGTATCTCCAAGGGTGTCTGTGTTGGATTTAGTAGCGTTAACTCTCGCTACTTTCTTAATCTCACAGATTTGGCCTTCCATCACCTTGTGAAGTTTCTCCAGTACGGTATCGAATGGGTACCGACCACCATCTAAATGTCGTTTGACGCGATGATGTTCTCCTTCGACCCTGCATTACCAATTGAACTTGAATATTAATTATTAATGTTGACTACATGTAACGATTATTTAGTCACGTAAATCTCACAAGGCTTACCTATTTGTTGTGTAGCTTCCGAAGTGAAAATAATGGTCGATGTAAGCTGACAGGATTTTTTTGGGAATGCAGACTAATCCATGTGTCAATGCAGTAATTCAGCAATGCTCCCCAACTCGAGTAATGTGCTGCCAGACGTCCCCATCTATCATTAAAGTCATCTATGGTCGGTGCACTTATCGCCCAATTCCAACGAAATTTAAATCCTTCTGCCGCCTCTTTTAAAAAACCAGGTTGCTGCAGTGCTCGTTGTAGCACGCATTGCTCAATGTGACGGCGACACAAATGATGCCTGGATTTAATAACTCCTAATTAAACAATACTAATAACGTTCCAATAAAAATAATAACTCCTAATTCAACAATTCTAATAATGTTCATAAAAATAATAACTCCTAATTAAACAATACTAATAACGTTCCAATAAAAATAATAACTCCTAATTCAACAATTCTAATAATGTTCATAAAAATAATAACTCCTCCTAATTCAACAATTCTAATAATGTTCATAAAAATAATAACTCCTCCTAATTCAACAATTCTAATAATGTTCATAAAAATAATAACTCCTCCTAATTCAACAATTCTAATAATGTTCATAAAAATAATAACTCCTCCTAATTAAACAATTCTAATAATGTTCATAAAAATAATAACTCCTCCTAATTAAACAATTCTAATAATGTTCATAAAAATAATAACTCCTAATTAAACAATACTAATAATGTTCATAACAATATTAACTCCTCCTAAATATTCAATTTAACATTATTCATAACATTGACAAACAATTGTACTAAATAATGTTAATTAACAATTTTAAATTTAAACATATGACAAAAATTAAAATTCATTAAGACACAAACCTGTAGTTTTCTTGTCTCTCATTTCGCATGAATGCGTAGGCGATAGTGAACGTTTTGTCCGTACTTGTTGCACCGACCACTTCTAGTAGAGGCATGTCATACTCATTGGTGTTGTACGTACAATCAATCATCATGACTTCCGGATATGCATTCACCATCACAAAAGAAGCCGGGTGGCAGAAAACAATATCTCCAAGTTCGGAAGATTCATCAGCAGTCCGAACGTCGTACATGTAGTTCAATTGCCTGAGTAAATGGATGAAATTATTCATCGGGGTCCGACCTTCTCTTTTCTGGGCACGCACCTTACTGACAGCATTGTAAACTTGTACACGATTTGTTCTCCGGATCAGCCCTTTTCATGGACGCCAACATATTACTCGGGCTTAAATTAAAATTCTCTTGCTCCCTAATAACTTCAAGTTGAATAGGGGATATTTTACCTAAACGAGATCCCACAGCATGAGACGGGAATGGATGGTTGTGTCTCCCCTCCCGGACTTCAAAGTACCAGCGCCCTCCAGGGTACTCCATTCCGTCCAACCAAAATGGACAATTATTTTTTGTCGTTTTAGTGGACCTAGTTCCAGTAACCTTTTTTGGCTTGTATCCGCCACCTTGGCTACATAAATTTCGAACTTTGGGCCGTCGGCCGTCTTTTCCCTTCGAATCACGAATTGCCAAAGTAACATTCCTCAAGCCAGCAACATATCTTACATGAGCATCCATGTCCTCTCTACTAGCAAAACCTCCTTCCGGACAGCAACATATCTTACATGAGCATCCATGTCCTCTCTACTAGCAAAACCTCCTTCCGGATTATCGAAATCAGTTGAAATATCTTCAAACTCTACATATGAACTATGATCCTGGAATGGATCACTTTGTGTTTCGTCGATGACGAATTCAACTTCATCAAGATTTATGGAGTTGTAATCTCCAGAATTCATATTGTTTGTGATTGTAATTGTAAGTGATTGAGTTGTGAGTGTTTGAGTTGTGATTGTGATTTGAAAAACTTAAACTGTTGGCCTTTTTATAGGTAAAAATCTAAGGGGTCAAAATCAATTTTGACATTCTCAGTGCTCAAATCAAATTAGTAAAAAATTCTGAGTGGTGTAATTTATTTTTGAAAAAAACGATTTTATGTAATTTATGAAAATTGTATTGGAAATGAAAATTGTATTGGAAATGAAAATTGTTATAAAAATTCTGAGTGGTGTAATTTATTTTTGAAAAAAATAATTTTAAAAAAAAACGATTTTATGTAATTTGTGTAAATTGTATTGGAAATTCAAATTAGTAAAAAAATTCGAATTTCCGAAAAGGCAAACAGCCTTTGACTATTGATGGATTTTAGGGCATTTAATAACACAAATTACATAAGGGCATTTAATAACACAAGGGCATTTAATAACACAAGGGCAACAAAAAGGGCATTTTCGGCAATCCAACTCCCAAAATTACTGTTTGAGGGCATTTAATAACACAAGGGCAACAAAAAGGGCATTTTCGGCAATCCAACTCCCAAAATTACTGTTTGGGAGTGGATATAGCAAACGTGAAAAACAATATACAATAAGTTTTTCCTCTTTATCTCTCCTTGATAAGGTTGAAGAAGAGACAATAGTTAAGCATTAGTTTTAGTTTTATTGCTAGTTTTAGGAGGTGGAAGTTATTATAATGGGATGTTAGAGAGGAGAGTAGTGGGTGTAGGTATGAGCCGAAGGAAGTTATTTAGGGGAAAAATAAGGCTGAAAAGGATACAAAAATTAAGTGAAACTATCAAATTAAACCATCAAAGCTTCGAAATTTTAGATAGAAGTGAAACCAATACTGATTGCACTACATAATTAAGTTACATACAGATAATATAAGACAAATCTATTTGACAATGCATTTGTATCATTGACTAATTCTTACAATTTATAACTCCATACAGATATTTAATTAAAATTTAATCCAAATTGTATCAAATCTAAAGGCAACAGGTAGCCTTACATGAGGATCAAACTGGAAAAATATCTAGGGTTTCGATTCGACCTTATGGAACAACGAGGACGATGATGAAACAACGAGGATAGACGGCGGCGGACTGGGCGTACGTCGCGTTATGCTCGTTGAGGAACGCGTTAAGGCGGGGGGGGGGGGGGGAGCAGGGAGCAGACGTCGACCGGGTTGGAGCGGCGTAGGGATAACGAACAACGTCCACGATAGCGATCTGACGAGAGTCCGGGGTCACGGATACGGCGGAGGAGGCGAAGGAGGCGGGGGAGGAGGGAGATGACAACGGAGGTTTGAGAATTTGGGAATGAAGGTATCAGATTTGGTAGAGTAGTGGGTGTAGGTATGGACCAGAGGAAGTTATTTAGGGGGGAAATAAGGCTGAAAAGACGTGGGAGTGTTTTTAGGGGAATAAAGTTTAGTTTTAAAAATAATCTGATTGGCCCAAAGAATTTTTATTGTTCATTCATTGTTCTCTTTTAGTTAAAAGAAGTAGTAGATTTGTTAAACTAATATTAAAATATAAAGATTTGGAGGACTAAAATCAAAATATCTATGATGTAAGGGGCTAACATCTTAAAAACCCTTGATTATATCCCCACACCGGGGTCGGCTGCCTCTTTGCCCTCCCTTGCCCCACACTTTTCTCTCTATTCCCCCCTCTTTTTAAAGCGCATAGCACACGCACGCACACAGAGAAAGAAGTCCGAAAAGAGAAAGCAAACTCTTAGCTAGCTGTTTTAAATACAGAAAGCGTTGGTATCAGTTTGCTATGGGGAAGAAGAAGGATCCCATTAAGAAATCCTCAGCCTTAACGATCGGTGAAGCATCGGCCGAGCCCGAATAGCAGCGGCCTCTGAGAAAGAGAAAAAAGAGGAGGAAGAAGAGCACGGGGATGATGAAACAGAGGAAGAAGAAGATGATGAAGAGGAGGAGGATGAGCCTAGAAAGAAGAAGAAGAAGAAGAAAGCAGCTGAAGAAATAGTCCCACATCGAACAGAAACTACACAATCCTCATTAGCTGCTTCGAAAGAGAAACAGGCTGAAACGAGTGAGCCAAAACCGCGCAGAAAAGGCCGGAGAAAAAGCCGGAGGCCTCAAAAGAGTAGCACATGAGTTCAGTATTGTATTATTATTATCGAAAGAATTTTCATCTTTCACATTTTTATCTCTTCGTAAAATTGGGGAAAAAATTAATGAAAATTAATGCCATTCTCTATTTGAGTTAAATAGTGTGTGATTGTATGTAATTTTTAGCTTGATGATCGATGGCGTGTGATTAATTTATTAGTGTTGATGGGACCCTGAGAACAGAGGGAATCTTAACAGGAATCTAGTACGGTTGCAGCAGTGCATGGGCTAAACTTGTTCTAAATTTAGAAAAACCTTAACACAACAGCTAAAACAGTAGCAAAGATCCACTCGTAAGCAGGAAGGAAAAAAAAAAGAAAAAAAAGAAAAAGAAATGCCCAATATGCGACTTGTTCGTTTAAGTAATGCATGTAACATGCACCATTTGTGGTTATTTTTGGTACTAAAAAAGTTTTCTAGCCATTACTTCGGCAAGAGTGTGTTTGCATTTTATGGAAAACTACACATCGGTATGTAAATATATTTAACCAGGTATGGAATAAGTCCATAAGAGCAATATGAAATTGAAGTATAGTCCATCATTATTCTCATGA